AATTTACTCTTTGAAATTCAGGGCTCGTTTGATTAGGCTTTTTTTCTCCGTTTCCGTTTGAATACGCCGAAATCAATTAGTATTTACTGTTTGGAATCAAAGCTTAACAATAATTCCTTTTTAATAAACATCATTTTTTCGGCGGTTACAAAATTCTTTTCGTATCTGCTTCTTCAGTCACAAAACGGAGTTTCGGAAGCGAATTATGTATTTTATAATAAAATCTCAAAAGCAGAACTCCTAAACAAACAATTTAAAATTACTTTCAAATATTAATAAGCACTTTTAAAAATATTAGTCAAACATATCTCATTATTGAAACTCCATTTTATTGAACGGCTTTTTCTCAACCTCGATCCTTTTCTAAAACTCCTTTTTATGTAAGCATAAACCGAATCAAACGAAGCCTCAATATCATAATAAAAAGTTAAAAACGGAATATTTAAATAATGGAATTTTTTTATTTAAATTATTTATTTTTTAATAATTTAAGAGTGAAATATGTAAACATTTGTATTGTTTTAATATTACAATTCCTTTATTTTTTTCATTTATGAAAAATGCTAGAAACAATCATTAAGTTACAGTACTAAGGGATGATATGTTATTTTTAAAGAGAAAAATGGCTTTATATCCCTCATGCACTTGTACTTTTATTTAGCGAAATATCCTCGAAAATCAATTTTGAAAAAAAAAACCTTTATATGAAAATATGAAGGAAAATCAGTCATACTCACATAAACATTCTCCTTATCATGCTCCAATTCTTGAAACCTTGGTTTTCTCTTATTTCACGATTAATTTATCAAAACGCACCTCTTCGCTGCTAAATCCCTGAAACATTCGCCTCCCCCTCTTTTGTCTCTAAATTCTCGAAACCATTATCCTCTCCCCTTATGCCTTTCTCTTTATAACCTGATTCAACTGTCATCTACGTCGATGCTTCTTAAACTGTCTCATAAATGAATTATCATGTAATCTCTTAAATATGAATGATAAAGATAAATAATGAACCCTTTTATAAAGAAAATTCTTATTATTCTTTCTCTTTGTGAGTAATCTACAAAGATTTCCACCACAAAATTTACTAAGTTTTAGAGCTCACAATGTCTTCTTTTAGCTCTAATGGTGAAATCTCTATGACCTACATAACCTTTCACAAAATCCAACAGACCTAACTTTAACTTGCTTTGCTATCAACTTTATTACTTCAGAAAAAAGTAATGTAGACATCATGTTTTAATGCTTTGACATCAGCAAGCTAAAATTGGTTTAATTAGCAGTTTTTCTTAGCCTTTTTTTAAGGTTTTTCCATGATGAGCGGCTATTCTATTTTATTTTAGGTACAACCATTATAATAGTAAAAAAATAGTGATGGTTATTCATAAGAAAACCACTTTTGATACAATTGTAGTTACAATGAAATTAACTTGATTTGAAAATAGTTGCAATCGCACTCAAAGTTCGGTTGTTAGCCGGTCTTGCACACCAAGTCTGACCGGCAACAGCGATGTTGAGCGATTAGGGCATCACTAGGGGGACAGTAGATAAGTATATAATATGGGAACAATAGATAAGTCAGGATTGTGCTAGAGGAGAAAT